AATAAGCACCACCTGGTGACAGACCTTGGTTTCTAGATACCATTCTCCACTAAAAGACTAGAGTTCCTTGGACAAATTCTGATTCTAAGACTGGCAGAAGGACAGTACAGGATGAGCCTGGAACATCGTGTGGGAATAGAAAGCCAAGAAGTACATAAGAGTAACAGAGATGTATCATATAGGAGCCAGCTTGAAGCAGTTCCCACTGGCCAAATCTAGGATGAGTTGAACATAAAAATAAATAATGATCATAATAAGATTATAACCTACTGAATAAAATAAGAATACATGATTCTATGCTAAATCAATAAATTAATAAATTGGAAAAGAAAGGGAAGCTCTTCCTTACAGCACAATGTTAACTAATAAATAAGAAAGAATGTAACAGAAGAAAAGTTACCATTGGATATAAAACTAGTAGATGAGTGTTTGATGGGAAATAGAATATTTGCATTGTCTTAGCATCTCCCAACAAATTACCTATAAATTACAAAGAGAAAATAGTAATCTTACAGTGGAGAAGCTTGGGAGAGACCATCTAACCAGTAGTGTGACACAGCTGGCATATTCCACCCATGAAAAACAGCTGTATGCATTTCTTCCCAACTCTGTGCAAAGAGATGTCACTTTGGTAGCTTGAAAGAGCCCCTGGTAGAAATATTTACATTGAAAATTGGTAAACACTACAAAGGAGCAAATTTTTCCCCCTGGAGGCCAGTTATTAAACATTTTCCAGCACACCAATAACATTAACCAAGTGATCAAAGATAATATTACTGATATTGGGACAAATGGACATCATGCATCTCAACTCACAGGAGCACCCAGCACTTCTCTGCTTCTCCGCTATTTAATTCCATCAAGAATGGCTCTCAGCTAGTAAGCATGTTACAAATGGTCTCATAAGTTTGTCATACCAATGTTCTGTCACAAAGCTCTTTATACTGTACTTCAAAAGGGAAACACCTCTTAACCAAAAGGGTTTAATGCTTAATACTAGAACTTCAGTCATCAGTAAAAAGTTATGAATAGAAATGTGGCAGATGGCATGGTGCCTCAAATCACTGCCACTCCTAGGTCCTCACTCTCAAGTTAGACTTGAGGTTTTCATCATTTTTGTCCCAGACTCATTGATGAATTTTAGCATCATCAGAAAGTTTTAGTTCTTCAATGTAACATGCTTAAAAATAATACTTAAATCTTTTTAGTAAGTCCTTTTTGCTGTGTGACAAGGATTTTTTAATAGCATTTAAAATAATAAATGACATGGAAAAACTGAGAGTCAGAAATGTGAAGTTAATTTCTTCAGTCCCATTTTTTAATGGGATGGTAAATATTGTTCCAGACATTTGTACAAAATATAATCAACCAGCACTATTGTTGGAAAACAGGAGTAACTAACCTGTACATGTACTAGTCCATGTTCGAGGTCTGTCCAGTCCTTGTTCACTCCTTCCAACTACACTGTTATCAGGAAAATATCAACATGGTCCACACATGCATGTGTGGTCACAGGTGATGTGGATATTGGAGGAAAAGGCAGATGTTCCTATTCTAGTGCATTTGCTCCTTTTAAAAATCAGTGCCATTGAATGTATTTTGACAATGTACACAGTTGTGGAACCATCATAATTATAAATAGAACATTTCCACCAACCCAGAAAGTTCCCTCATGCCCCTTGGTTCCCTCATGCATGTTCCCTACCTTCAGGTCCTGGCAACACTGATCTGCCACAGTCTAAACTTTTCTAGAATGTCATGTAAATGAAATCATATGGTATGTCTTTGTTGTCTGGCTTCTGTAGCTAAGTGCACTGCTTTTGAGGTTCAGCCATGTGTCCTATGTAACAGCAGCTTGTTCCTTTTTATTGCTTCTATTCCCAGTAGTCCCTTGTAAAGCTATACCACAATTTGTTCATCCACTTAGCAGTTTATGGGCATTTTGGTTATTTACAGTTTTTAGCTATTGTGAATAAATCTTTCAGCCTCACTATAAAACAACCAAGAAATTCTACTTTACTGTCATTGCTCTTATTCCAGTTTGGCCGTCTACAAGTTTGATTGAGTGAGATCATCAATGTGTTGAGTATAAACTGAAAGAAAAACCAGTGGGGCAGACTGTCTCAGCTCCCCTCCGTGAGGCTCACAAACCAGCCAAAACTGACCTTTCACTTTTCTATGCTTGTATCTTTCGTATGCTGTATTTCACTGTCTGCCTTCTATTTGGCCATTTTGAATTCACTATCAGATGCCATGTTTAACTTTTTTGACTCAGTGCTTAGCAGAGTGTCTTTCATGTAATAGAGTTAGAATAAATACTAAATGGATTGATTTCGATTCATCCCTCACCCTTTCCCTTGGATATAAGAGTTTTTATTAGTTCTTTCATTCTATTATTTCCTTACCTCTTCAATGTTTTAAAATGTGTTTCCCTAAATCAAAATACTTCAGATACCACCTCTGCCTTTACATCACTTACAGTACAGCCTTTGAGCAGATTTCTAATTATTTATGGCCCTAATTTTTTTTTTCTCAACTGTAGTGTGAGAAGGTTTGATTAAACCAATTTGAGATTCCCTCAAAGTTCTAACATCCTAAGGTTTAATACAAAGCCTGCTAAGTCAGAAAGAATCTGCAAGGGGAGAAGGCACCAGAGGAGGAAAGGGGGCTGATAGGGAGGAGGTAGGAAAGTAAAAATATGCCACATTTTTATGCCATGAAAAATACAACAACTGTTAACTAGATTTATTGTGGGGATGATTAGCAGTATGAACATATATCGAACCATTATGTGGTTGGTACATCTGAAACTAATTATATCTCAGTTAAAAAATAAAATGTATAGTTTCTTAAATACAGTTAAAATTGGGAAAGAATTTCAAGAAACTGAGGTCAGTGGGTAACAGCATTTGTTGGTAGAGCATTCTTTTAAATTGTTGTATTTTATAAGGAAAACTACAATAATAGTAGTTCTTTTTTTATAGTAAATCTGAGATATCAGTAATTAGGCAGCTTCTCACTCTAAAACTTGAGGGTGAGCCTGGCAACCCTTTTATGTAGGGGACCCATAAGCTCCAGTTTGCAAAGGGCAGTCCCAATTATGACTGTTGTTTCAGTATACTTATTAGTAGTGCCCCTTTTCACTATTAAATGGGTATTGGTTTTGAGCAATGCACTTAATGTTCACCCAGTTTTTAGGGATGTCAGAACTCCAGGTCTTCCTCTCTGTATCTCCTGCTCTACCTAGGGGTCTGATTTGGAGTTGGTTACTGGGAGAAAATGTCTGAAGTTTTTGTCTCTTCATAAGAGACTTGAGAAAATTCTCCAGCTTCACTTAAAGATTGCTGCCTTCCTTCCTCTATGGCAAGGGTGTCAGAACATCTATTCATTAAGAATTCATTGTCCACTTCTACGTGCCAAGTACTGAGCTGGGCTCAGAAATAGAGACAAAGATGACAAAAAGAGACAGACGTGTAACCCAGTAACTGAAGTGTGATAAACGTACCCATATACAACATATATTGAGATCACTGATGAAAGAATAGTTGATTTAGGGGAGACTGGAAGAAGAGGAGGAGAATTTGAGCAGAGGGACAGGCGTTGGGATGTAGCTAGGGGGCAACATCCTAGGAAAACAGGCAAGAGCAGTGATCCATGGCCAGAAAGTACCTGGTATGACTGGCCTAGAGTGACTATCTATTTGTTGCAATGTACCAGTTTGGAACTGAGTGTGAGGCAAGGTCTTAGAGCAAATCCAAGGGGTGTTATTAGAAGTATCAGAAGGGACCTTATTTCACATTTAGTGTGGACCCCTGATGATTCCATTGAGGTATGGGTGTATTTTCATTCTGGAATTTTACAGTATAACATTACCTCATGAATTGACCAGTTTCAAAACAGACTTTCCTTATGTTGCTTTATAATTAGAAGCCAGTGGATTGAAGTTCCACAGTGGTACCTAGACCAGTAGTGATAGCTTTATGGAAATGTTTATTTTTAGTTTGGCAAAGGCAAGGCAGTAAATATCTCAATTAGTAAACTGAGCAGCATGGAGGAGAAATGCCCACAGGAGACGAAAAGTTAGAAATAACTAAGTCAGTTAATTGAAGGAAGCTCTCTTCACTTACCCATATTTAGAGGATGAAAAACAAAGTCTGTGTGTGTGTGTATGTGCACTGTGTGCATGTGCAGTGTTGGTAATATCCACAGTACTGCCAGCAACAAGGTCCTTTGCATTGTTCAGGTTCTAATAATTTAGCAAGTTTCTCTCTCGTGGAGCCACCCAGTGGGTCGATATCCAATCACAGTGAGATGGGATATTGTCCTTGATAATGGAAGCTTCTCATCCTGCAGCTTCTTTCAACGTGAACCCAAAGGGATTTGATTCTGAAGTACTGGGGGAAGTCATTCTTTTTCCTATTCCTATTTATATTCACATTACATGGTCTAATGTGTGAAACTGTTTAACAAAAACATGCATGTAGCATTGCAGAGTCATTTACTTGCCTCTAGATGAATCTCCTATGTTGTATTTGAGATTCCATTGTAAGTTTGGGAGGAAAAGCAGAGGTGGTCTACAAAGCTTAGTTTCAAGAATTTAAGTTTTGGTGTATTGAGTTATGCTGCTTTTATTACTCCAGGATCTTTAGGAGATAATGGCCATTCAGAAGATAAAAGATTAAGTGGTAGAACGAAACACTGAGAATCTTAACGAGAAAGGTGTTTGTGTTTTAAAGTATGAAATACCATTACCAGTTGTCAGGATCTTTTTATTTTTAAAGTTGCATACTTTTGTCCCTTTGGATTTATGGTGTGTATTTAACATTGTATGGAAGGTCCTTTGGATTTTCCCCCTAAAAGGGGGTTGTCTGTAGAAAGATTGTTGTCTTCTTATGCTTAACAATTTACTACGTATCAGCCCTCTGTGGTCTGTGGGGGAAATGATAGGGGTTTGTGCATCTGTAGATTAAATTTCTGTCTGTCTCCTCTCTGCTTTGTAGACTGGAAAAAGATAGCATTCAGCAGAGCTTTAGCAACGAAGCAAAGGCCCAAACCCTTCAGGCCCAGCAAAGAGAGCAGGAGCTGACACAGAAGATACAGCAAATGGAGGCCCAGCATGACAAGACGGGTAGGTGGTAGGACAGATTAGAGCCCGGGCGCTTGCTCACAAGCCAGGCCCACGCCTTACTGTGAAATGGCATCAGGAACACCTGTAACCTTTGGCTGGCCGAAGGGAGCAGATGCTAACTACACCGGAGCTTCCGAATTACATATTAGTTAGCGTTTAAAAGAGAAAATGGAAAGTATTGCCCACTGTCTGTTGATTTCAGAGTGCTGCTCTCACATCTGTTGCACCATCTGGATTATGAGTTTATTTACCTGTGTTCAAGAAATGTAAAGCTGAGAGAGACCACAACAAAGTAGAAAAACAAAGGGCTTGTTTTTGGCTGGGTTTTCCAGCACACATGTTATATAAAGAAAATAGCATCAGAAGCTCTGCGGGAAATGCTCTGAGCTTACAGTTAGAGTCTCCTGAATAGCACTGAACAGTTCCCACAGTACACACATTATAGCTACTCTAAAAGCCTAATGAGTTTGCTTCAGCATCCAAACTGGAGAAAAGCTTTAGCCATTAATCGGTTCTTAATTCACTGTCGCAGCTGGATGTAATTCAGTGGCTCCAAATTGATATGTTCCTTTATTTAATCTTTGCAGCTTCGAACATTTTTAGCATTTGTATGATTTCCCCACCTCCCCAGCCCAATCTAGAGTGATGTTTAATCCTTTGCATTCTTCAAGTTCTCACAACTGCTGTTAAAATTCACTAATACAAGGCATTGACCACAGCTGGCAGCTTGGCTAAAAATTGTCATCTTTCATCACATTGGCACTGTTCTGCTGACTGAGTTGGCCAGTAATTCTTTACCTTTAATTTGAAAGTAAAATGCACTCTGAAAATAGGCAGTTTGATGCGTTCAGTCGGAGCATTATGTAGTTCCTTTCACTCTTGAGTTGTGTGTTCACAGACAGTGTGAGTCAAAACAAGACAGTGCCAGTCATTATAATTCCACACCACATATTCCAAGCTGATGGTACTATTACAACAAAAGTTTAATTGATCCTCTCTCTTCCAGAAAAATGTTGCTTAATTTTTAGTGCCTTGATCTGTTTTGCTTTGTATGCTATATGCTTTCGGACAATCATTAGCTAAAATTGAAGAGAAATAAAGGGCCTTACTAAACTTTACTAGCTTTCATGTGACTTAACATATACTATATTTGATGGCATGGCAAAACATTACTGCTTGTCCTATAGGTGAAAAATGGCTAATGTAAAATTCTTTAAATAATCTGTTTACTTGTAAAGAGGCAAATCTCATATTGACTCACAGAATTCCCTCCCGCACTTTCAGTAGAGATTTTTTTTCTAACAGCACTTGACCAGGGGAAATGAAAGTCCACCAGACTTAGGAGATGTTTTTCAACTAACAGCAAAAGGAGCATATTTTGGGGTATTATCTTTTGCCCCACTGCTAGCAGAATTCTAATGATCAGGGAATCTTGGGCAGAATCTCTGAATGCTAGATAAGAGTATTTAACTGTCAGAGCTACTTAAAGAACACTTCCTTTTATTTTGCGCAGAAGTATCACACTCTCTTCAATTTCTTTGATCAGATCTTCACTGAAGCTCACGCTGTTGACAATGAAATCAAAATTCTAAGGAAAATTACAAATTTCACCTTCATAATTAGAGAAGTGTATACAGGAAGCAGGGAGGGTGGTTAGTGAAATATGTGAGCAAATAGGAAACATAAAGTATGAGTAAATGTAGAAAAGAGTCCCTCAGTTTTTTTAGTTTTGAATTATGTGGTTGTGATCATTTTTGACACTCTGTTTATAGTAAAATTGTCAAAATAAAAATGGAAAATCTTGCATAATACAAAGATATAAGCATCTATGACTCCACTTGAGGTATTTGAAAATTTATTAGCATCTTGAGATATTACACCAAGCTGGTATGATCAAAAATATTTCTGGTATGTAATTATGAGAAAAATAAATGTCTCACATGATCTAGTGTCTTGTCAGGTGAGCAGTCCTTTGACTTAAGACATTGGAAGTGACCTACTGGCTTACAGGGAATGTGTAAGGGTCTTAGTAATTTTCCCACTCTGCATACGGAAGTACTGCTGTGTCATAGCCATAAACATCTTATGTTGGGGGATTTATTGTTATTTCTAGAAAATGAACAGTATTCATTGCTGACCTCCCAGAATACATTTTTGACAAAGTTAAAGGAAGAGTGCTGCACATTAGCCAAGAAACTGGAACAGATCTCTCAAAAAAGCAGGTAGGTAATATTGTATAATAGTTCCAGAGCACTGTTTGTGTGAGTACTGTAATTTTTTCCTTTAAAAATGACATTTCATCTATTTTATAGTCTAATGTCAAATTTTGACATGTTGACATATTTCCTATGAAAATATTTTCTTTGTAGGAACATTGTCTTAATTGTCTTTACACTTTGGTGTTTTTCCATGATTTTGTAGGCATACTTTTATTTGGCTTCTTTAATGTTTAGAATTGGAAACTGTGAAATTTAAGAACACAGAGGTCAAGATGGCAATTATTCTAATAAAGGATGCAAATAAATCAAGCTGTTTTTAAGTCTTATGTTGATACAGTTAAAATATTTTAACCTATTATCACAGTTCTCTATGAACACACAAAAGCTATCTTAGATCAAATGATAATAGATGAAATGTGTATATGTAAAATGATACTTTGAAACAAACCAAAACCATCCTTTGTTTCTCCTAAAGTTGTTTTATCTTAATAAAACAGCCATCATTAGTTTATAGGTGCACTGCTTTTTCATAAATCCACTGATTAGGATCTTAATGAATTTTTTTGTACATTTTCTAATCACATTATCTCAATGAATGAATTATTTTATATTCTAAATTGCAAAAAGCCTGTGTTCATATCTCAGCTCTGACAGTACCTGTGTAATCTCTTGACCTGTGGTCTCCTCTTGTAAGTGAATGGTATTGGACAGAATCACCTTGAATTGAATATAAAAAGCATCATCATATAACTAGTTAGACACCAAACATCATATTGCAATTAACCTAATGGAAAAATAACCTATATATCTTCTCTGCATTTTCTGAAACTCACTTAGATCTACACAGGAAGCAATAAAGCTCAGCAAACAAACTACCAACGAAGGTATCTCATTCAGAAAGAATTTCCAGGAGGATCAGAGCACATCTGATCACGCTGAGTCCTATCAATAAACTGGCTTAGTTGATGGAATCCCCAACCCTGAATCTTATAGGGAATCAGAGGGCTTATGAATCCAGTTCTTTCTGCTCACAGGAAGGCAGAGACTCCTATAGCCATCCAGAATGTACTCTGACATGTGCACTTAGCAAACACTGATTAAATATCTTGTTTGGGTAGGGAAAAAGCTCAAGTTGCCAAAATACCAGGTATTTTCAGGAAATTTGCAAAGACACCTAGATTTTGTCAAGGAAGAGACCCTCACAATATATCAACAGCAGCTATTCCTGACTATAAACTTTATTTTGCCTCACATAGATCCAAAAGTAAGTAATTTCTTAAGAGAAAAATTGGATTATGTAATTTAAGAAAAAAATTTTATTGATCTGGGGCTTCAAACATTGTGTTCTCTTAACATTGCTTTATGGTTGCTTATTAATTATCCTGCTTTCTAAGGAAACATAATGCAGGAATTTCAGTGTCTAAAAGAGAAGGAGGTGCTATATGCTGGTATATACTATTTAATTCTCACAACATCTTGACACAGGAATTATTATTTTTATGATTCTCTTCCTTTTCAGATGAGAAACCGGTACTCATGTTTCCATAGCTAAGTGGGAGAGCTATACTTCTAACTTAGCTATTTCTGCTTCCAAAGCTTAATGGTCTTCCTTACAATAAGTCTAATATTTTATATCTACTACTTACTAAAGAAAATCCAGACCAAAGTAGTTACGAGAAAGTTTGGGATAGAAAAAGTAATCTTTAAATTCCCACGGAGAAATAGGCACATTTGGCATGTGAGAGTTAATCTGTGCCCTTTGCAATCCTTGGTTAACCTGTGCCCTGTGCCCAGAGGCCCCTTCTTTCCTCCTCTAGATCAGTCAATACACCGTGTACTGATGTGGTGAACTTGAACCTCAGTCCCTTTCTGGCTCCTCTTGCTTCTGATTCATCTAGCTCTTGACCACTGCTTTGTAAACTGAATATGTTCCTTTATGTCTGACACACAGATGGCACTCAATACATATTTATCGAATGAATGAATGAAACAAACAGGTCTGGTGCTGCCTCCTATATCCTGGTCTGTCTCTGGTACCAGCCTGTTCCTTTGTTGATGGCAGACAGTGTGCAGTAAAAAGCACTTGAGATTCAGAAGGAACTGGGTTTGAACTTCATTCTGCCACTTAGCTTGGTAACCTTGGGTGCATTGCCTAATCTCTGCACACCTCAGCTTCTCCATCTGTAGAAACATTTCTAAAATCAAATTTTCAGAAAATCAAATTTTCAGAATTATTATGGAAATTAGAAATACATATTGAGAGAGGTAGCTACACATCCAGTCATGCATGAATAAAGAACATAGCATGATGCTTGACACGCAGAAGTAGAGCAGTGGCTATGGCTGGCATTGATGGCATTGTTTCAGTGGGTCTTGACTGGCGTTTTGGCTATCACTTCACCTGGCTGGTATTGTCTTTGCCAAGGAGGCTCTGAGTGCCATTTTCTGGCAGACATAAAGTCTGTACCACAGTGAAAATCCTTTTAAAGGCAAAGCAGGATCAGGAAAATGTGGCTCTGCTCGAGTTTCAGGTCTGGCTCTGGTATCTTGTTTTGTAATTCTGAAGAATTAAAATAGGTATCTCCTGTAACTTTACAAGTTGATCCAAAACTAAGGCCTGGCAAATAGGAATCTCTCAATGAATTGTTATTTAGTATGGTTAAAACTTTTAAGAGCCCCGAAAGTTTATAAAGTATGCATTTTATGTGTCTTGCAAGTAGTTAGGATAAATTATTATTTTAAGGCTGTTTGTTTGTTTACTCTTCATTTCTTGTCAATCCGTGTATTTCCTTGTCTCCCTACATGAAGACTACGAAATTTTCAAAATTCATGCAAAATTTAACATTCCATTTGATATAATCTTTTGCTTTGAAACTGCCTATATAACTGGAAGGGCTCAGAGTATCTCTTTTTAATAAAAATTAGAAACTTACTATTAAGCCCTGTAGAAGCTTCTACACATCTTGTCCTGAACTTTTTGGAGAAATCATTTCCTCTGTGCTTTGAGGTGAGGAAAATCTTGGAGGTTTTGCACTTTTTGAGTGTCACTGTGGCACAGCTCAGTCTTCAGAATGATTGTTTACACCACATGGTGATGGCGATCCTGGCTTTCCTCAGAGTACTACAGTAAACATTTTCCTGAAAGTAGTTTTATTTATTTTGTATTGATCAACAGCTTAAAACAATTTTGCTCTCCTTTTCATACATCTCGTGACATTTCTCTGAGAGTGTTGTGTTATTCAAACCCCATACTATACAAGTGGATTCATACTATTTAAAATAAGCTTTCTTTACTCACAGATCTAGTCATCTGACTAGAGCCCAGGCAGCCCGGCCGGGACGCTGACAGCCTGGGCTCCCAAGCGCGTTCTCTCTTGCTCTTACCCCAGCCTCGTGCTAGGCTGCTCCGTGCGTGTGTTTAGAAACGGCTCCTCCGCACGTGTGTGTGGCGCATTTCTTCCCAAGTGAACGGGAGGCGCCGTCCCTCCCGCAGGGCCTCTGGCTGCTGCTCTCTGGAAGCCCTCCACAGTGATTAGCACAGTACTTCCCGCCTTCCCTTGGGCTGGAGTGGCGTCTGTAACCCCAGGGTTTGTGAGTGGCACATCCCACTGACAGACTAAAAATGCACTGCTGGTTCTGTGCAATTTATGTAGCTGGTTTCTGACCATCAGACAAGATAATTCATTCGCTTTTGCTTTGGCACCAGGCGCACATTCTGGCCGGTTTTAGTTGAAGCGCGCATAAACTTTAGCTACCCTTTCGTCTTTATTCCCCAGGACTCTGAGAGCTTATTAGTTATGGGGTGGTTTTTGAGGCTGGTGAACAGAGATATTTAAATATCTTTGGTGCCACTGTGATTTTCCTTATGGAAGTGAAGGAAGTGCTCCCTCTCCCCAGGCATTTAGATGAATCAGCAGCAAAATGTTTGCAGTACAGTTTGCAGGAGATCTAAAGTGTGGTCTGGGAGGAGCTCAGGAGGTTGCCTCCTGGCTAGCAGGGAGCCTCTGCCAGCTGTGGAGTGGGGATCAAGCTGTGCCAGGCTTCAGCCTTGTAACACTCGCGTGTTGAAAAGAATAGGATGCAGAGCACAGAAGCTGGGTGTCTCTGTCCATGGTTTTGCTTCTCTTCTTTCTTTGTCATTGTCACTTTCTGGGTTGCTAGGCTTGTGGATTGATGTCTAACACTGCCCATTGTGTATTTGTGATTCGCATTTTGTAATTAAGAGGAACAATGGGAGTCCAATGGGTCTCGTTATATATAATGGTTGGTTTAATTTGTTTCACTTCTATCTTGTTAATTGTAAATTGATCATTAAGATTTGAATTCTAATCTGTCACCAGGGTTGTGGATATTGAGGGTAGAGCAATGATCCTGGTTTTAATCACTGATGATGAGAAACAAATTTTATAATTTTGGTACATATTGCAGTTCATATATTTTAACACTGTATTTTATGGTGTTATAAATACTGTTAAATGACTTTTAGTGTAGTTTTACTGTGTGGACTATAATGTATAAATTATATTACTGTTTTGGCAACAGTAGGTATCCAACTGTGTCAGTTTAATTGAAGTAAAGAACATACACCCGGCTGAACTATTTTTTTTTCCTTGCATATTTAGATGATGTTAGGTTGGGATGCTACAAAAGTTATGTACTACAAAAACAGACTGATATTGGGCTCTGCTAATTGTTACCAAAAGTCAAAGGAGAATATCAAAGAATAAAAAAATTAAGGGGTCATGTTTTCCCTTAAAAAGCAATTATCACTGTAATTCTAATTTTAGCAGTAAAATATTACACTTCATGCAAATGTGATTACACAATATAACTGGTATATAAAAATGTAGGGGAAAGTTCATGCTTCTGTGAAGCCATCCAGAAATTACCTAAATTTTCTCTGAACATTGATTAGAGTCAATTACTTTTTTATACCACATCAGGATGATCATGCCACAAATGTAATCTCAAAATTACACAGCAACTTTTAAGTTTGAACTTCTCAATTTATCATGGGCTCTACTACAGACAAAAGATGATGTCCATGTACATTTACCAAATTTTTATTGAATATTGGAAGTTGGTAGGCAAATTACCATTGTAAACAGAGAAGAAAAATATATGCAGAGCAGACAAAAACATTGTAGCAATAAAATACCTGATTGAAATACATACTTTACAAATAACATATTTTTATGGTTATTCAAGTAAGACATCCTCAATAAAGGGCATATAAATACAAAGAAGAATTAAGGAAAATTTTTCTGTGGCATTACCATCTAGCTCTTGTTAACTTTTGGCATATTTCCTTTCAGTCATTTTCCATGTGTATGCATACATACTCTTACAGTGTGAGGGAGGTGATGCCAAAAGTACACCTTTGCATCCTGCTTTTTTGCTTATTATTATCCGAGGAACATTTTTCTATATCACTAAGTACTCTGGAAATAAATTTAATTGCATCATTTGTATGAACAACAGTTCATTAGATGTTTAAGATATTTCCAAGATATTTAACTGTTAATGAATAACATAATAATAATTTTGCACATAAATCTGGATCTTTTATGATTCTCTTAGGTGAGATGCCTGAAAGGAGATTGCTGGTCCAGAGTCTCTGAACCCTTTTAAGCCTATTAATGTGTATTACTTTGCTCAAGTACTACACTAAATTGTGCTTCGTTTGTATGTACACATTTCAGTAAGTGACAAAAAGAAGTGAGAGGTTTAAGAACAAAAAAAAAAATGAGTGAGAGGCACTGTTGCACAGTGGGTAGAACACCCTGAGGGCGTTGGTCAGAGGTGTTTGTATCTGTGGATAATCATCATTGGGAGATCTTAGGCAAATCATTAAACCTCATATTTACCTCACAGAGAAAAGGAAATACACATTTATTTGTAGCATTTCACACCATTAATATAAAGGATGGATTTCACTCTCTGGCATAGAGAAGGCATGCAATAAAGATTTGACTATAATCTGGTTTTATTGTGCCTTTTTTTGAATAAAAAAATGAAATTGATTATTTTATAAGTGTATATTGACCATTTATGTTTCTTCCTCTGTGAATATTTTTCATGTTGCTTGTACTTACCTTATTGGGAATTTGATGGAGATTGAGGATGGCCTTTTATAAATGATGCTTCTAACTTCATTTGTCTCATTGTTTTATGTGTTCCCAGTTCTTCTAAACTTTGAAAAAAATTTTCCCAGTTCTTTTTGTTTTTCTTGAATTTTTAAAAATCAAGAAGACTTTAATGAAATTTTTTCCAGTGTTATTGAGAAATAATTCACATACATTACTATAAATTTCAGGCATATGGCATGATGGTTTGATTTACATATATTGTAAAATGATTACCACAGTAGTTTCAGCGAAAGTCATCATTGTCTATTTTAAATACAATATATGCCCATTGTAAATACCCAGAAAATATGTTAAAAGAAGTTTTTTTTTAAAATTCCTAATCCTGACACCTAGAGATAATCAGTGTTAATATGTGGTATATATGTCAAAATATTTTTAATTCTAAAATTGTATCTCTATATCAGCTGATTTTTAATATCTTCCTTTCTTACCAGTATGTCATGTTTTTAGTTCAATAAATAACCCCAGAGTAGCATCTTGGTGCTCTTTTGTATTTACTAACATTGACAAATTTTTGGGTTAAGTTTCCAGATACTGGGTTGCAGAGCAAGTTTGCTTCTAGAAACAGTGCCACAATGAACATTATTATTTTTTTCTGCAAATGTTTTACATTTTTTTATTGTAAAATCTGTTTCCTTTGTGATTTCTATTTTAAAAACTGACAGTTTCCTGGAGAAGTACCTGAGAACAGAGAGAGATCCTGAATTTTTTCCTAATCTGCTACAAGGATATTTTTGTCCCTTTGGAATTTCTTTTAGTGCACAGTGCATATTGTGATAGGAGATACTAATCTTGAAAGAATACTAAATTAACAATTTCTTACAACAGACTCTAAATTCTTTTATATTGTATTTGATTTTGAAAGTAGAAATGCAGTCATTATTAACTGATGTAGACTATTTCAAATATAGGTAAATTCTTATTAGTAAAAGCAAATGTAGACTGAGTGCTTGATCTGAGCTTAAAATGAGATGATCTGTGCCCTCGTGTATAATTGAGCAAGAAAGATGAGGCATGAAACACAATTCAGAAGAATAAATTATAAGCTAATATATGTATAAAAGCTAGAGGTAATACCAAAAAAAATGTGCTGACATATTGGGAACTGCAGGATACTAATCGGAGCAAGTTTTCTTTGAGATGAACTTGAACCAAAATGGAAACACAGTGAGGAATGGGGTGACCTGAAAGTGAGAGATAGCTTCATGTATGTGGCACGGCTTGGTCCTCGGGATGAATTCCCCCAGCAAATCCAAATATTTTCTTGACAAGAAAAAAAGCCTGTCCCGTCGGCTATCCCATCTATTGGAGGAATCCTTTCTTCAGAAAGAAATAATTTTACATCAAGAGTGTTACTTAAAATTCAGGAAAGAAACCAATTGTTAGCTACTTGTATTTTATTATGCAAGAGTTTTGAGCTCTCAGTTCTAACCTCTGAGACAGTGGAGTATGAGGAGCTGGCGGCAGTAGGAGCAATGTTGAATCACAACAAGGACAGGGATACAGTGTTTGTTGGATAGAGATTTTTCTGATCTTCAAATTTGGAGACTTGAGATTGTCATCCAAGACACTGAAGAAGAGGTGTTTTCCTGAGGGACATCAACCATCACCAAAGTTAACATCTGTGATCCCAGATGATATGTGAAGAGGGAATGCAGGGGGCATGGCACCTGACTTGGCAAAGTGAAGGAAGGTGAATCTTAAGTGTGTACAGAGGGAGATACTTACATGTGAAGCAAGCTGATCTACTCTCAGGATTCCAAAAAAGCTTGGAAGGCAGGTGTGGAACATAGGATTGAAACCAAATTGATAGCTCTGCTCTGACCCCATGCACCCTATGTCCTTCCTCCACTCAGAGACCTCACAGCTTCCTCACTGAAGAGATTAAACCAGCAGGCTCTGGGTAACATGGGGGCTCTGAAGTTAGGATACAGGATAAATAAAAAGTGTGCAGTCCTAAAGGTGAGATCCCGACTCCTCTGTTTCAAGCCAGCTCCTAGGCCATTAGTGGTTGTACACAACAAGCAGGAAACTGGAGGATCCTTCTCTTGAGAAACAGAATTGCCACAGCGGGAAGAATTATACCATTTTGGGGAATCTGCCATTGGAATAGTTGGCTTGCTGCTCAGTCACTCTATTCTGCTCAGTCACTCAGTCACTGCTAAAGCCACTTGTTTGGGAAAATAAATGTACACATGTGCACAAGTAATCATAATATACTACTTAGCAAGGACCAATGTTTAGGGAGTCATAATGTAAATATTGATTCTGTTTTAACTACAAACTGAAATGCTGGTAATTACATTGACAAGCTGAAGATGAGGTCAGGGAGCAGAGGACTGCCATTTTTCATTATTATGCCTTTTGTAACTGTATGGTTTTAATCATGTGTCATTAAATTAGCTATGTTAATTAAAGAATTAATTAAAGAACCAACTCTCTGTCATAGAGATTAGGCCTGGGTTGCTCCTTTAACAGCATGGTGGCTGGCCTATATTAGGCGCTCAGTAAATATTTGGTAAATAAATGATAGTCTTTTTAAAATGGGATCTGATCATTATCATTTTTGTCTCCTTCCTTGGAGAAGTCATCTCTCTTCAAGTTGTTATTCCTTTATCTTTCTACCACCTGAGTCTCTGCAATGCCCTATCTCTGTACTGGACATTTCTGTAATATTTTGTGCAATTTCTGAAATATTTTACATAAAATAATTTTTATTTACACTGTTACATTTAACTGTGGATTTTAAGATAATGATAAGGTTATACAATAAAAACGTGCTTGGGTAATAGGCACCTGTAACATCTGTCATTTCTGTATTTCTACCTCCCTAGATCTGAAATAGCTCAGCTCAGTCAAGAAAAAAGGTATATGTATGACAAACTGGAAAAGTTACAGAGAAGAAATGATGAATTGGAGGAACAGTGTGTCCGACATGGGAGACTACATGAGATAATGAAGCAACGGTAATAAAGGTTTAATAAGCAACTAAAGCGACCTATATAGAATATTTGTTTAAAACCTTCTGGTAGAGATGGTTTTCTTTGCCTCCAGCTATCCAGACACTCTATGCCTTCTCTCTTTCAAAAACAATTGTTGATATAATTGAGGAAAAAATGAAAATGTTTCTACACTCCTTTTACGTTTTTTAAAATTTGAAGTCCTGGTTGGGGGAGAGGGACGCATTAATCTTATAACTTTGACCACTCGCTCTACTGAAGAGAAGAAAGGCAGTCAGAAAACGGCATTGCTTTTCAGTCACCAAAATATTAAAATATGGCAATATTTGTAAAGTATTAACCATTCATTTATTTACTCATTAAAATTTTATTTATGTCAGAGTAAAATTACTGTTCTAAGCCAGAGGTCAGCAAACTTCTGTGAAGGGCCAGGGAGTAAAATATTTTAGGCTTTGTGGGCCACACATAGTCTCTGTTGTGGTTTTAGTTTTGGTTTTTACAATGCCTTAGAAATGCAAAACTATTCTTAACTAGAAGGACAACAAAACAAGCCTGAGGATTTGGCCTTTGGGCTGTAATTTGCCCCCTTCTAGGCAAATAAGACATTTTTCTATTATTTCTTTTATTTTTCTAATATTTCTTTTCTTACATTTGTATATTGCTTAAGAATTCACAAAATGCACTCACCCCAGATTATCTTACCATAAAACAAACGTGGGAAATAACTGTTATACTCCATTCTCAGATAGAGAACTAAGGCTCATAAAGGTAAAGCTGCCAACTGAAGGTCAGGTAGAAATTTAATCATTCACTCATTCAGTGGACACTATTGACAGCTACTATGTGTCATGTTCTCCACCACATGCCGGGAATAAAATAGCCAAGTAAATATAGTTCCCAGCCTAATAAGAGTTTATAGCCTTATAGAAAAGATGGATTTTGGCAAAAATATTTCACAGATACCTAATTAATTACAGTAATAATTAGTTCAATGAAAGAGAAATATACTGTGTGGTATAAGCACATTTAATAAGGGGAGTTAACGTGAGTAGGTAAGTTTGAATGAGAAATGACACTTGAACTGAATCTGTAGGCCACTGGGCAGGGATTACTATCCTTGGGGCAGGAGCTGGCAAACTGCCCCTGCCCGCAGCCCTTTTTGCATGGCTGGGAACAGAGGCTCATTCATCTGCACATTGTCTGCGACTGCTGCTGTGCACTTGTGCTGCAGTGCTCATTGAGTAGTTGAGTCAGAGATTGTGACCTGTTTGTCCACAAAGCCTAAAATACTTACTATCTGGCCCTCTCTCCTAAGAAGCTTGCCAGTTCCTGTTCTAAAGAAAGGATAAGTGTAAAATTGAAGGTCCTGAGGTAGGACTTTTGAGGAAGGAAAGAAACCATGTGTGTTTAACACAAAGAGCAAGGGAAAGAGTGGCACATGATGCTGTTGGAGAGGCAGGAGAGAGCCAGACCTAAAGGCAGAGTCTTTACATTTTATTGCAGACCTTTTACTAAAGGGAAGAAATCCAAAGGTTTTTATAAAAACAAGGAAAATCGTGGGATCAAATTTGCATTTTAAAAATAACATCCCAGCTCCAGAGTAAATAAGGGATTAGTCAAGCGATGATGGTTGTGGTGGCTTGGACCTGAAGTGATAATAATGTTGACAGAGGTATGTGAACAGATTGGTGAAATTTATAGGATGTGAAATAAGCAGGACTTAATAATTGATTTGCTCTATTGGGTTGAGTAGGGGGACATGTCAAGGATAACACCCATACTTCTGAAATGAGCAGTGTGTACTTGGTGGTGCCACTTACTGAGAACTAGAGATGGAGCAAAAGAAGCAGGTGTGTGGCGGAGATGGCCTGGGTTTGGAATGAAACCAAGCGTTAAGTTTCAGCCTCATTGAATTTAATGTTCAAATACATCATACAGTGGATATGTTTAAGGTAGACATCAGGGACAAAGCTCAGGAGACTTTCTAGGAGACTCTCCAGTATAAAGCTCAGGAGACTCTCTCATTGGAGATAGAAACTTTCATTGACCTATAGAGGATATTTGAAACTTTAATTGAAGTTGCCTAGAGAAAAAATAAAGAAGGAAGAAGGGCTTCTGAATCCTGAACATCAACATTTTTAAAGGTAAGGTTGGCAAAAGAGATTGAGACCAGTAACCTGAGAAACAAGTGGAAACTGGAAGAGCATGTTATCATACATGCGGAGGGTGTGAAATGCTTCAGGAATCAACCAGATGCTGCCGAGTGATTAAATAAGACTGAAAAGTATCCATTTCACTTAGTGATATGGACATCACTGGTTATGTTAACAAAAATGTTTTTAGTAGAAGAGTGGGTACAGAAAACATAGTGGAGTAGATTGAAAAGCCAAAATAGTAAATTTAAACAACATTTTCATGAGAATTGTCTGCAAGGGAAAGTGGGAAGCAAGAAGACAGAACAACCAAGTGCTGGTGGGGGGATGTATTAGGAGGGACACTCTGGAACAGATGATTTTTTGTTTGAAGTTGAATTAGATTTGAATATTAAATTCTGGTTGTCAAGATCATTCAAGTTGTAAAGTCAGGAAAGTTACATTTTTTAACTGGTAGTTTGAAACTCCTGGTATCCACAAAGACAGTCCAGAAAACTTATATTAAAGATAGTGAGTGGTGGCACTTTTTTTCTAGTTATATTTTTAAATGAGTATTGATTTATATATTTCTCTCTAGAAAATAGAACCATGTGAAAACTCTGCAATGTGTACAGAAGGAATAAGCTCTAGAGCTAGTGGAGACCCATTGAGCTCTCAGGTAGTCAAGTATTATGTCACCAAGCCGTAGAAATCCTGCTTGTCACTCAGTTACATATTATACTTTTTTGCTATCTTTATTTATTTAAATTACATACATAAAAATATTGACTGAAGACATGAATCTGCTGATTGAAATGTAGCAAACTAATGAGTTTTAAATTGGTAATTCTATAAACTACTTCAGAGTGATTGTTATCTCAAATCTATAGGTTGTATTTTTCTAATATAAATTTTAATCCTTCAATACCAGTATAAAAATAGGAAATAGAGAATTGATTTTTATCTAATTTGACATTTCATTTTGGGAGAATCTTAGGAATTAAGGCAATTCACTATTTTCAGAGAAGTGCTTGATAGAAGCCTAAAATCTTAACCTTTGTTTCATCATTTAAAAACAAAATAAGAGAAAATATTGCAGATAGAATCCAACAATGTTTAAAAAGAATTATACACCACACCAAGTAGGATTTATCCCAGGTATGCAAGGCTGTTAACACATTAAAAAATTAATTTAATCCATCACATTGATAGGCTAAAATAGAAAAATCACATGAGCATATCAATAGATGCAGCAAAAGCTTTTGATAAAATCCAAAACCTATTCATGATAAAAGCTCTCAGTAAACTAGAAATAAAAGGGAACTTCCTCAGCTTGATAAAGAATATCTACAGCTAACATCATACTTAATGGTGAGAAATTCAAAGCTTTTCCTATAAAGATTAAGTATAAGGCAAAGATGTTCCCTGTCTTTACTCCTTTCATCATCATACTGGAAGTTCTAACTAATGCAGTAAGACAAGAAAAAGAAATAAAAGATATAAAGATTGGGAAGGAAGTTATAAAACTGTCTTTGTTTACAGATGATATGATCATCTATGTAGAAAATCTGAAAGAATCAACAACAAAAAAACTGGAATTAATAAGCAATTAGAGCAAGGTTGTAGGATACAAGGCTAATATGTGAAATTCAATCCCTTTCCTAGTCTCCCTGGCAACCTGGCAGGAGGTGGTTACTGTGGAATTTTGTGGGGGTTTTGTTTTTGTTTTAATCTCATCTCTCTGTTTTGTATAAACCAAAAGTCTGTTTATGTTAGATTTGAAATATATAGTCATAAAACTTTCCCTATCCCTAAGGAAATTTCTTGAGTTGATTATGCCTCATTTAGAAGAGCAATCAAAGTATAGACCAAAGCTCCCTGGCTTGTTGATGACCAGAAAACTGACCCCAAATCACAGCTGCTTTCTGCAGTTCTTATGGACAGTTTTAAAATCTATTAAATAAATGTTTTTAAAGTACTAAAATTTGGATTTTATAGGCTAAAACAATTTACTGAGAAAGGAAGTGCAGTATCCCACTGGGCTCCATGCCTTGCAGAGCTCCTGTGATACTGTACAAGCTCCAGTCACTTGACTTCTGATGACTTGGGGGAAGGACATTTAATTATTATTGCATTATCAGTGTTGTACTGAGGTCACCTTGGTTTTTCAGAAGCTACTATTCCTGCTTTTAATTATAACATGCTCTTAATTTAGCTTCATGATAATTAATTTCATTTGTTGGGATCTGTTTTGTTAACCTCCTACAGTGCAATATTGCATACTTTCACCAGCAGTGTATTGGTTTCTCAATAACAGTGTTTCAAGTCCTGCATGAATCGTAATTCAGAAGTAAGTTATCTGCATCTTTTGCTAAAGCAAATGTATGCATAATCCCCACTTTCCATGTCCTCCTGCCCCCACCAGTTTACTTTAGAAAGGCACTCCTTATGTGATGGGTTGCTTGGGAATCTATGTTTTCAAATAACTGACAGTATAACCATTAAACATAAATTAACATCATTGCTATGTTATTTTAGATTTATATGCCTTTATTTTATAATGTCAATTTGTAGAAAAATGTTAAATAATCCATATGTTCCTAATTAAGAAGTTCATTGCAACTTGTTTGCTTTGAAATGTTTGTTTGTTATCACTAGCTTTCCTTTCATGGAAATGGGTGGATTAGGTAGGGTGCCTCCTGGAAGGACAAACAATCTGAGAATATTGTGTAGAGGATAGGAGGAAGTAGTGAAAACCACATTATTCCAAAATTATAAGCCAATTGGGGTTAACAAACAATCTCTTTAAAATTCAGTTATTCTACTGACAAATTCCTAAGAGGACTGGAAGCCATGTTCCATTATACTTTATTG